TAGAGCAGTGTTTGCATATGAAGCGTACCGACTTCCTTGCCGATGTTCAAGGAAAATGGTGAATGTGATGCACGAGGTTAGAGAAGCTATTCTGGTTTCAAATGAAGTTTCGGATCCGTAAATTGACGAAGTTTTCTCCCGCAGCACTGCTGTAACAAAGACATGATTGATTCGCTGGTTGCTCATTTTCTGGAAGAAGAAAGTGTGGGGATTTTTTACTTTATTTTTTATCGATCCCGGCAAGTTCGCGTTAGAAAACCACAACTCGTGCCGTTCGAGCCCATGTGGGGCTTGTCTCGGGACGCTCTGCGTATCCCTTGTCGCATTGTTATGCTGCCCGCGTTTCTCATTCATTGAGCCGGCCGCAAATCCCGCCCATGTGTGGGATTCGCGGCCCAATGGAAATCCGGTGCGGATTTCGTCCCGCGGGGCACCGCCCAGTGCGGCATGCATTGTGCATCCGAGCGACCGCCGGCGTTATTCCCAGTGCACTGCAAACCTCGGTCTCAGAGAAAGGCAATCCCCGCGGGATGTGGAATTGAAAAAAGAAAAAAAAATTGCGGATACTTCGTGGGCTTTTTGCCACCCGTATACGTTAAATATGCTCGCATCACACTCCGTCATCCAGTGCCGCGAAATGTGCATGGAATTATCTCTACGCCAAAAGCCTTTACTCCGCCTTCTGAAATTCAGTGATCTCACTCGGTCGAGAGCAATCGCTGGTTCCGGTCCTTCTTGTGCATCGGCTTTGGTTTTGTCTCGGCGTTTTCCAGTGGCTAAGAATCCGTGGCCAGTATGTGAATATTTCTGAGACATGACGATTTTGTGAATGTGGATGTATGGTGTGACGAAATCCGTGAACACCATGGAAAAGTCCGATTGCCTTGCTGATCGAAAAAAAAAAAGATTTCCGAGGAATGGAAGTGGCCTAGTATTTTTATGAAAATATGGCGATGATTCCTTGCAATTGCAGTGAACTAAGTCGATCTCTTGCAACGAGATTATAAACTTTGAGTTAACTTGTCGTTTTTGGTGTTTTTTTCGAAAAAATTCAAAGCATTTCGTCAATTCCTTCAGACTCACGGTAATTAATTTGATTTCCTTCAAGAGCGTTTTTTGCACGTCTCCAGGATTGTTTTCTTTCATCCAATAGCGAATCATTAATCTCATCATGGCGGGGAAATGAAAAAAATGGCGGAATCTCTACCATTGACGCGGGAATTACCAATAATTTCTCGAGCGACTGCTGTTGAAATCGCGTCAACTATGCAGCTAGACGATTGAGATGGTCGTATTAACAGAACTGTTTTTTTTTAACATTCCCTTGTTGAGCAGAAATTTTACTGTGTCCGATCTGAAAGAAGAACTGTTCGCGCGTGTGAATTCGTGTGCAACGAAGCCAACGCTACTCATCACAACAGAAGTTCCTCTTGCAACTTGCTGGACGTCATTTTGAGGTGAGATTAGATTAACTGCCGCATTTTCGTAGTCGATAAAATTCAAATAAACTTCGCAGTGCATTCTAATTGTTCCTGGCCTATCGATGAGTTTCCAGCCGCTTAATAAAAGTTAATTTCACACTACTTTCCATCACTTCTTTCTCGCAAATTTCACCATCCTGCTCTTCTATTCTTTCTGTATTTTTATTTTGAAAAAAGGATCAATCTTCCTTGTACCATATTTCACATTATTGAAAATCCGTAAGAAATCAATACTAAACTTTGCTTGAAAGTAGCCGAAGCATGCGATTTCACTAACAACGAAGGGCATTCATCTAAACTTTTCAAACACAAGAAACGCGAGCCACCTATGAATTTAATTATTTCAACACCAGGCTGACGGAGTGTAGAGTCTTGCTCTAATCGTTCGCCTTTTATAAGATACAGTACAGTACTTAAAATTGAAGCTCAGCGTGATTTTCATTTCGGTTCTCATTCAAGCTCCATCGAAGAGAAATGTGGAGTTTGAATAGGGCATACATTTTGGGTCGACTCAGGGAGAAGGGCAGCTTTTTCATGGGCTTCTGAATTGTTGATTGGCTGCATTAAGAAGGCAAATAAGTTTACTGTAATTCAAAAACTGATTCGTTGATCGTTCAACTTGTTTTTATTGAGCCTCTGTAAGCTCATTTTTTAGCGAGACTCATGGCAGAGCAGGTTTTGCACGGATGGACCCAACCGCAGTAGTAACGCGACACCGCATTGAATTGGTACTGCTTTCCTCGCGAGGAATGCGTACGTTAAAAACACTCATTGATTTCGTCGTGGAAATTAAGCAAACTATTATGACTCCGAGGCATTTGTCGACCCATTTTCGTTTGGACGTTCGCGCGACTATGGATTGTAAACTTTAAAGGCGGAATGTTTCTTTGATGATCTCAAGGACTGAAAAATGCGTTAGCGAGAACCTAATCCCCATGAGATACAAAGAAGCCGGCAAAAAATGTTTACGTTCCACGTCGCACGAAATCACGACGAAGACTGGAAGAAGCATTTTTATGTTCCTTCCAAAGCCGGAAGATTTTTGGTTGATTGAAAAATCAATTTTAGAAGGAATCGTTTCTCACGAGCCCCATCAATGTTGCGCCCCACAAATGAGCTTCTTCAATATCTGGAAACAGTCTGCAAAAGCGTTTGTTCTCCATCTTAAACGGGCAAACAAGGAATATTTTTAGCCATTCTTATGATTCTAAGCAACTATCTGGTGAAATTCATACGTTATCCGCAAAATCAAAGCACTCATTTTTCCAAAGTTGCGATGGTGCGAAGTCCAACGGTTGGCCGCAAAACCCGAAGATAAGAGATCCTTCTGAGCAGGGAAAAAAATTTCGAATGTCATTAAAATGCAAGACTAAATGATAAATTAAGCAAAAAAATCATATATAATTCCAATGTCGACATCAACAGTTATTCCGAAGCTTCGCATTCGATGTACAGTACTGCTCTGTATTATGCTGTAGTTCACATTTAAACGCAGATAGTCGAATTTTTCTCTGCATTTTGGATAAATTTTCTCGCATTACTTTCCGCCCAAGATCTAAATCAAAATTTCCATATTTTCGTAGTAAATGTATTTTGGATCATGTTGACTATCCGATGAACACCGCATATCTGACGGTTTTTTTTTCGTTTCATGCCACGGCAAGAAAAAGAATACACGTATTCAGATAAAAATGACGTCGATATAAAAATCTACGCACGTGGTCTTTCGGCGTTTGTCCGACTTGAAAAGTTTCAGTGGACGTTGGCGAGCTTATAATGCAAAATATTTCCAACTCTAGCATTTGTAAAAGTAATCTAAAAATATGTACAGTACCTTCCCAATTATTGCCAAACTCGATGAGAATCTAGGGCGTAGAAAAGCCTGCTGGATATCCTGTAATTGGAAATATCATCAAAGAAAGCAGGGTGAACTTTAGCGGTCGATTTCAAAATAAATGGAGAATCTTCGAAACATTTTGCGATCCTCATCGTCTCTGTTGAAATAAAAAAAAGCTAAAATGAGAAGAAATGCCTGCACTTCCTGCGAACTATGTTGGCAGTCTTTAGAAAAAAGAAGTTGAAACATAAATTCTGGAAGTTGTCTCGGTTGTTCTTCCAAACACGATGCCAACAATCAGAAGGGATGAGTGCAAGGGTAGCTCAAGAAATTTCGGAGCTTTTTACAAATAATATCCGGGCCAAATTACGGCTTTCCAAGACTATATCTTTCGTTTTACCGACAGCTAATTTGTGCCCGTGATTATTTTAAAGTTTATAGGGTCTCAGACTTCCCCATGAAACCTACGGGGAGCCTTGTCTCTGTGGAGAATGGATTCCTACCATATTTCTTGGGAATGACACCTATCGTTCAAAATGAGCTCATTCTACGATAATTTTAGTGCTTGTTTATTCATCTTGAAAGGTCCCAGCCGTAGGCCTACCTACTGCTAAAACTTATTTTAAATCCTTACCACAAGCAACTTTCAACTTGGCACATGACAAAATAGGCATTAACCTCACAGAAATCGGAGTGACGAACAAGTGACTGCCCGAAAGTAAAAAATGCGTAAACCGGTATCATATTGAATGATATTCACAGCTCCATCCACGCTGCCTACAGAAAAACTTGCCCTGCCCTGAGTCCTGCCAAAAACGTTCTGTGCTAGTCAATGGTAACCAAAAAAGTTTCTTGCAAGGTCGTCTCAATCTTTGACTACCAATTCGGGAATCAAGAGCAATTTCTGCCTAACTTTTCTTCTGCCACACACCTCGTTCAGAAGTATCAGGGAAGTAAACTTCAGAACTAAAATGGGAAATAAAGTAAAACAAAACAACAATGTAAATATGTTCTCAGAGCGAAATGTTGAAAGAAAACTCTGAAAAGTAAAGGTTCTGTAGCTCATTTTTGCTATTCACAGGGATGAGATATTATATTGCAATGGCGTTCGATTCCTGGAGAATTTCCTTTTGAATTAATTATTTTACTCGTATTTGTAATGACACGGGGCAAGAGAAGAACTTTGCATTGATTCATTTTAATTGAGTGTGTTTTGAATAGATGTGTTTATATTACACGTTAAGAAACAATCGTTTCTTGCCTTTTGTGTTCAGGTAGCTATTTTTACAAACAATTTCTTAAAAATCCCTCTGACCTAACTTTCACGCAATAAAAAAAAAAGAATTCTCAACTCAAAATGCTGTTGATGACACATTCCAAGCCTCTTTTTTGTGCCTTATTACTCGATGTCAAAATTCGTTCGTCGATTCTCTGGTGTGGCCGCAATTGAAATCTGCTTCAAAATAAGCCGAACTACAGTATATTTAATGAGCAGAAAGTCATTTAAAATGCGATCATGTTGCATGGGTAGCCCGTTAGTCTGGATACCTGGATGAAATTAATCCCTAACATGTGCTAAAACGTGGTGTTCCGTGATTTTTGTGCGCAGGGGTGTGCAGAGTCGCCGTGACGTCACGAGTCCGACACGAACCAACGCCCAATCCGCAGTGAATCTCCCCTAAATGGGTGTGTTCATGGAGAATAGTGGTCAACAGCACTGTTCCAACCAGGCCACGTTTCCCGAGGACCTGTTCGCGCTCAAGCAGCGCGAGGCGGCGGCCATGACCCAGGCCGCCGCTGCACGGGGAGACTTTGACGCTCTCGACTTCAGCCGCCTCGCAGCACCCCCGAGCGATGCCTATGACAGCGCATCCGACTCCGACGTCGCCATCGACGTGGTCTCCGACTCCGACGCCCCCGCTCTGAGTCCTGCTCCCGAACGCAGCGGCTCTGATGCAAAGCCCGGCGGCGGCGAAGACGATAAGAAAGGCGGCACCAGCGCCGTGAAACCAGCTTACTCTTACATAGCTCTCATAACTATGGCCATCATGCACGCCCCGCAAAGAAAACTCACTCTCAGTGGGATCTGCGAGTTCATCATGAACCGGTTCCCGTATTACAAAGAACGGTTCCCCGCTTGGCAGAATTCCATCCGACACAATTTGTCCCTTAATGACTGCTTCGTGAAGATCCCGCGAGAGCCGGGAAATCCTGGCAAGGGTAATTACTGGACCCTGGATCCGGCAGCCGAGGGCATGTTCGACAATGGCTCGTTTCTGCGGCGCCGGAAACGATTCAAGCGCACCCAGCCGGATGCGTACGTGGGACTGCCGCCGGCATTTTGCAACCCTTACATGTCATCGCCGTTTTCCTTGTTGCCGCCGCTGAATCCAGCCCTTATGCCGCATTTGTCCATGTTGCCGCACGCGCAGGGCAATCCGTACTTGCCGCTGCTGCCGATGCATCCGCCGCCGATGCCGCCACCACCGCCGCAGTGCCACGGAGGCGTCGGTCCGCCAATGCCGGGCAAGTTGCACTTTGCGGAATTTTTGCACAAGCATTCGAGCGCTCGTGGCGCCGCTGCGGCGGCAGCAGCAGCAGCAGTCGCTGCGGGGTCTTCTCTCGCGTCGCCGCGGGCGCTGCCGCGGAAACAAGGGTTTTCCGTGGAGAACCTCATTGCGGATCGTTTGGAACAGGGTGACTCGGGCGCCAAGCAGCCCAGCCCTCCGCCGCCACCGCAACAGGCGGCACTTCCGACATCGCTGGAGCCCAGTGCCAACTCTGCCTTCTCGTCACTTCCGGTGCCCGCTGCGAGTCTTTGCGGGAAAATGCCCATGACTGGCGAGGAGTGTATGAAGGCCTATTATCAAAAGTACCTGGACCTGTGCTTCCTTTCCATTCGCAATTCCCCGAACGTGGGCTCACCTTAAGGTTTGGTTCTGTTTCCAGAGAAAAGAGGGAATCCCCAAACAATATGGAACCAATCGCACACAAAGCAGTTTAAACTTTTTCATTACAATATGTCAAAGGGGCTTTGACCTTTTCAATTTTTCTAGCATGAAATGATTCATAAGATTGTCCGTGCTAGTGATTCTTTGGTTGCGGTACCGCAAGTAAGAAGAAGATATACTCAAGAGTTCTGCAGACTATTTGGCACTTCGGCATATTTCGAAAACTCGTCTACAAGTTGACAAAATCATTATTTATTAGCATGAAACTAATTCTAAACTTTCTAGAGAAGGTGTCGAAGCCCAAACATTTATAAATGTCATTCAACCCTTTTTGGTTTGCAAGTTTTGATTCCGGATCAGCAATTTGAGTTCTGGAGGGAAGGAGTGAACTCGTCACGATCAGCTTTGAAATGCAAATTTGATCTGAATTTTCCTGCGATGAGCTTATTACGAATATTCCCACTCTCGAAGTACGACCAAAGTTATTCAAGCTATCGAGTCAATTCATAATTTGCGGTACCGCATCTTGAAAATAATGCTCTGTTTTAATTCAGCTTATGCTGACACCTCGTGATAATTTGTTAGAGCGGAGAGTTTGTGGCTAAAACCCAATCCTGTTCGCTGGATTACTTCGAACATTTCGTTTAGCCTTTTTTTGCCCATGAGATTTGGATTTTCATGAGTTAAATCTCTCTAAGTCAACGACAGGTTCCCAAAAAATCACAATGAACCCTGTTCACGAATTTCGTTCCATGTGCCCCTGCGCTGAAAAAATGTTGAAACTTACTTCATGATAATGGGCATTACTATGGATCATTTTCGAAGCCCGGAAGTACAGTATAAAAGTTTTAGAAAATTTACAATTTTGCGCGAACAGAAGAGAAGAGAAACTCCTGTTGTTTGCGGCGAAAGTGTGCAAAGGAAAGTCTCGACGGCTTCTTTGTTGGTCTCCATCCTGGAAGGAGGCAGTTCTAATGTGATCCTTGAAGAGAGTGTAATATCAGAATGACTGTACATAATCGACAGTTTTTCGACTGTGAACTTGGAAATTTCATCCTAATCGGTTACGAATGCCGAGTTCAGGGAATGCGCACGAATCCTTCGGAAACCTCATCACATATTTGGTGTACGTATAAAATGCTTAGATTGCTGACCGGAATTCCGACACGCTTCCTGAATGTGCTCTTGACCGACTTTTTGATGACGGGAGCTTTTAGGCCTCGGCAGAAGACGATTTAAACGAAAAGGTTGAGAATTGATCTCATCGTTATTGCCAAAAAGTATGATGTATTTGGTTCATCCGAGCTGTCTTGTTCCTTTCGGAATTGCGAACGTTTCGGAAAAGGCGCTAGAAAATGAGCGGCGGTGTTTAGTGCTCGTCCACGCCGCATTTGTGGACCCCAGTCATTATCATTATTTTTATTTGTTGGTTCATGGAGCGTTGTTTTTTGCCGCCCGGGCTTTGGTTTTTATTTTGATGATTGTTCACCTTGGTTGGATAAGGAACAATGAAACATCATATCCGTTTTGTGCACTTGCGTCGGCTTTCTTTTTCGTTCGACAGTTATCGCTTGCATCAAGCACTGTACATCAGAAGAAGGGGACTCCAGATGATCGCATTTGTTTCTGGTCCTTGTTGGTAGTGAATATTGCGAGTCTTTTTTCAATTGGAAGAGGTGATGCTTCCGTACCACAGCGAGCCTGAAAGCTGCGAATTTAACATTCTTTATAGCTGTGGACGCGTCCATGGTGATCGTTGGAGAAATATTGCCCGGAATCATATGATGCAGTTTTCTGGCACAAAAAAAAAAAAAAAGAGAAAAACTATGTCTTCCACTCTGTAGAATCTCGCTTTCAATTCGAAAAAAAAGTCTTGGGTCGACGAAAAACGGGGATTTTTTCATGTAGTCATTGCTTAAATTTTAGGGGGGGGGGGAATCGGCTCGTGTAGGCATGAGAAGCCGACCTCTATCGTCGTCGAACAGAAAAGGATAGTTATCGCCTTTTAAATCTTGAAATTATGTTAAATTGACCTGTTTCACACGAAAATTACATCTGGCGTAAATATCGCACATTTTGAAAGTCATTCTTTTTATTTTCAATTTGACAAGCCCATTTCGTCATCTCTGCTTCCTCCGTCATCTATTAGTCGTCAGCTTTCGTCTTTTCGAACTACCCAAAACACGATTACCAGATAGAAGTTGAGGAATATTTGCAAGTTTCTTGACCGTCTTTGTGTCATCGCGTTGTAAAGAATGCGGATTAATTGTTGCTGATAATTTTAGAAAAAATTGAGAATATATTTTCCAGAGCTTTGTTGAAAAAAAACCCCGGATTGACCTGAGTCATGCAAGGTTAGATACCGTGATTTATCCCATTTCTAAAAATGGGAAACTTGAAAAAAACGATGATTACATCTTTATGTATGAATTAACGATGGGTCTTGGACGACAGGCAGACTTCAGCGTATATTGGTAGTTTTGTGAGAGATTTCCAACGCACAATTTTTCGATGCTGACATTACCGCTATTTTCCTCCGATTTCAAGTTTTCATGAAGTTTTTTTTATTCAAGAATTTTAAATAGCTGCAGAACAAAATTTGGACATGGTTAATCATGTAATGATCGTTACAGTACACTTTTCTCATGTTTAGGAACCCGACTCTGATGGTTTCGAGTCCGCCATCAATACTGTACCTCAATTATCACCGTATTTTGAATTTTCGGTGGAATCTAGAAGTACTGTACACTTAATCTGGACGCGGAGTTTGATATGACGGCTTTAGTAAACTTGTTCTAGTACAACAACCGGACTGGCGCGCATGTCAACGCATTTGCTTGAGCTGTTGGTTTCATGATGGCCATGAACCAGCAGCTCAAGCTGGAAAATTGTCATTTAATCTCGACTCAGGGGATTACGCAGGCGTTATCTGACGGGATCGTTCCTCAGCTCGCGCAAACATTGCGCGATACGGAGAACAACTCCATAAAGGCAGGCGACGGTAAACTCGTCATGGGGTGCTGTAAAAACTGCAGGATCACCGAGGAAACCAGAATCACTGCGCGCGTGGCCAACTGACAACGGAAAAACCACGTTGAAATAAAGACAATGCAGTAAATTACATTACAACTAAAAAAAAAACTTCTTGACGCATATTTTCAGAAGTCTCGGATCCAAGTCAATATTTCGAGAATGCCCTATTTATAGGAGTTACATGCGCACCTTTTTCTGAAAAATCAAGGCACCGAAGTCTCGGTGCACATTTTTTGAAAAATGGTATCACTTATACAGCGAAAAATGACAGGCGTGCGGTTTAACATGGGGATAGGTTTTTGGAAAAATTCCATCAATAAAAACAAGGAATATGTCTTACCGGAGAATGTGCAGTACTTGAGTAAATGCAGTACTACTGTACGGTACTGTAAAATATAAAGAGTTCTCGATTTCGAATTTTTGAAACTGGCATGAACCATTGATATTTCCTGTTCTTGGACCCGGTATGAAATCTCGTATACCGCTGATCATACCATGGGCTATGTAATTAAAAATTGATACAGTGATTCATAGTACTGTATAATTATAACTTATACAGGGGAAACTTTCCGCTTCCATGATCCTGTGGTTGGATCAAACTTTGATCACATAGTCATCTTTAAAGTAAATATGCGACGTTGCATATCAGAATGTTGAGCATTTTTCATAACACTGATAATTGTTCGCCTTTCAGAAAGATATCCGTAATTTTGCATAAATGTCCAAATGACAATCAACTCATGCATCACGGATGACCTAATTTTAATTAAATTTTTCATATTTTCGATTGACGGTGATTTCTGATAATCTGGAAGTAGAGAAGGTATAAATTGATTTCAGAATAAGCAAAAGAAACAGAGAGCCACCGGGAAAGAAAGTAAATTGTCAAAAAGCTAAGAAAAGGACTCCGTGTGGTGAAAAAATCAGAAATTTCATGAATTAGCAGGATTCTCTATAACTAAAACAGTAAAGATATACTGTACATCAATGATCGCAAATTAAAAATCATTATTTTATAATATCTCTGAATTATTCATTGGGCAAGTTTCGCATTGAATTTTCGTTTTTTGTCTGCTTCTGCTGGAAATCCAGTCAGGAATTCGAGACATTAACCTGCGCTTCGAAATTGAAAGCTATAGGAAATAACCTGGGGTCTCCGGATGTTCTTCTGATAGAATTAATTTGGAATCCGATCGATGGTCTGAGGAAAACGGGTCAAGTGAGCTGAGAGAAAATCATGCCGAAAAGCGGAAAATCACCGGATCAGCATTTCAGGAAGAACTCAAACTTGCGAATAAGTGCGGCGCAACTGCGACTCAAACAAAGGTGGATATAAGCCAAGGATTTATGCAAGCTGACATTTAATGACCACCCCGCTGCGATTCTAATGGGACAGCAAACCTCGAAGCTGAATTTTTCGGTCGTGACAAAGTTGACGAGCAAATTTGCATTTGAGGATTTTCTCAGCCGTTTCCCAGTTTAGTGCAAGAGGACACGAGAGGCGGATTTTCCTCTCTTTTGTCCGATTTGCATATTTTTCTAAACGACCGCGTGAGTTTTATTAATTTGTACGGACGTACCGTGTATGCGTTTGGCTGTGTGTGGTTTTCGTGACATCTCATCCCACAGTGAATTTGCTAATTATATACTGTATTTCATCGCTCTATACACGCGAGAATTCAAGGCCAAACGTTATTGCTGTGCAGTTCAATAGCACGTAAGACATTTCGGTTGATGTTCTGAAATTAAGGAATTTTCTCCTCAGCAAGTCAATCGCACGCAAAAAATTCAGAGGTTATTTCATAAGCTTAAATGTGTATCAGCGTCGCAGAGAGTAAGCTAAGATTGTAAAATTCAGCAATTTTTCACGCCGATATTTTTTAAAGATAAGCATGAGTTGTTATGCGCGTTTAAGCCCATACAGTACAGTATTGTGAATGGCTAGA